TATAGTCGTCAAAGTTGAGGTTGTCAGAATAGGTAATGCCAAGGTCTTTTATGGAGTTTGTCACTCGAATCTTTTGACCTCCTATGTAATAAGTGCACGGTCGTGGATGTTTAGCTCCAATAAGCATGATATGTGTTTTCTCGACTGAAATGTCAAGGTCCCACTTCTCAGACCATTCTACCACCGCATCTAAAGCTTTTTGCATCAGCCGAGGGGAATTGCAGCAGTATAGTTTGGTATCATCTGCATAAATAGAACAGGTGACACCATCAGGAAGAGCTAATGGTAGATCATTTATGTACAGCAAAAACATGAGAGGCCCCAAGCAGGTCCCCTGAGGAACTCCGCTGCTTGTTTGATACGTAGAAGACAAGGATTCATTGACTATGACTTGTTGAGTACGATTTGATAGAAAAGATTGGAGAAATTTCAGAAGACAACCTTTCACTCCATATGCATTGAGTTTGTTGAAAAGTAGTTCTAAATTTACTGAATCAAAAGCTTTCTTGTAATCTAGATAGCATACGGTAATGAATCCTTTTTCATTCATTATCTTATGCCATATTGATATAGTGGACATGAGAGCTGTAAGTGTCGATCTTTTAGGTAAAAATCCATGTTGTGCTGCATTTATGAGTTGGTTATTTCCGAGATATTTGCAAATTTGTTTGCAAATTATTCTCTCAAACACTTTGCTAACTGAAGAAGTTAGGCAGATGGGTCTATAGTTCTTGGGTTGCGATCTGTTGCCTTTTTTGAAGATCGGTTTCACGATCGCTGTACGCCAAAGTGCTGGGGTTTCCCCGTGGAGTAAGAATCTTTGGAAAAGAAGGCTGAGGGCAGAAGAAATGCCAAGCGCTGCTTTTCTCAGAAATATGTAGGGAAGTCCATCAGGTGACGTAGATCTTCTAAGAGGTAATTTTTTCAAAATTTGGTAAACAATGTCACCAGTGATATCCAAAAAATCAATTTTCTCATTTGTAAATTGTGGACATTGGCTTTTAACATTTGTAGGTTTTTTGTAAACGTTCTTAAAAAATACGGCGAATGCTTCAGCTTTTTCTTTATCTGATTTACATATGTTACCTAATGAATCATAGATAGTTCCAATATTGTTTGTCACCTTTAGGTTTTGATTACAGAAGCGAAAGAAATTCTTGATATTACGGCTACGTGCAATGGCATCTTCCTCAGAAAGCCTGCATTGGGCCAACTCGCGTTTGAGCTTTCTAGAAAATCTTTGATACTTTTTAATTCCGGTTCTATGTCTGGTTTGATACAATCTGGAAACTTTGGCTTCTAACATTCGGATCTTTTTAGGATATGCAAATGTGTGTTTTTGGTCAATCTTAATTTTGGGTACAAACTTATTTATCAATGCTTGGCAATGAGTAACAAATGATTGATAGCACTGGTCTGCTGAGGTTGTGTTCAGTATAGCATTACGCCAGTTTACTCTCAGCAAATCAGCGTTTATTTCATTGTAATCTGCATGGAGAAAGTCAGGCAAATATTTTGGCGATGCACCACTTAAATGATGTTTGTTTAGCTGAAATGAGATGGAAGAATGGTCTGATGTAGAAAACGGTGGATGAAATTTCAGTTTCTTAATCATTTTATCATTGTTTGTGAAAATGAGATCTAGCATATGTACATCATGAGTGGGAACATTCACAAGCTGGCGTAAGTTATAAGTCTCCACTAGCTGCCGTAGTCTCATAGAAGAAGAGTCATGTTTTTGAAATGTTGATATGACATTGGACCAGTCACAGTATGGGAAATTAAAGTCTCCTAAGATGATACAATCTTGGTTTCTGTCAAGGATTTCACTAAAGAATAGTAATGCTTCTTCAAACGAGGCATTATTGCATGAAGGACTTCTATACGTTAATATCAAATTTGTGCATGTCATAGTATTTGTGAGGCAAAGACAGAGGCTTTGACAGTAAGGAGAAAAATTCTGAGTAGAGATTAGGTGATGCTCAATGTCTTTACGCACAAGAGCAAGAACGCCTCCTCCATGAGTACTGCCTTCTCTATCACATCTATAAATTTCATACTGGAATTTATGGCATATGTTTGCATCATGTATCAGTTGTGGTTTACACCAGGATTCAGTAATGAGCACAATGGATGGTCCAAAATAAAGAAGTCTATGTAGATCTGGTAGTTTGTTACAGATAGAACGTGCATTGAATAAAATTACATGACCTTCGATATTATTATTGGATAGAAATGATGTAGAATGGTTTTTGTTATGGTGCAAAATTTTCCCGGGTTGAAGACTTTTGGGCTAATGTATGTGTGTTTTGGGTGTATATTGTGAGCAAGTGATTGGGGATAGAGTCAAATTAGTTGCAAGAGAATTTTCATGCTCTTCTTCCATGTCAACAGTGCTTTTCATGCAATGTGCGTTGCTCGCAGTGTTGCTACGGAAGCTAGTCGAGGTTAAGAATCGCCTGGGAAGTTCGCGCGGCGATTTGAGTTTCACGATCTCGAAATCGCGAACAACGTAAGCTAGTCTCCCCTCTCGCGCATTCAAATCACCAGCTTGTTTACGGAGGGCTCGATCTAGTTGCAGCTCCTCGAAAGTGTAGTCGCGTCTGGCATATGAATGAACAAATTTTTGCGTAAGACTTTGGCGCCCACTTTTCATGTGGCGCAAAAGCTTGTCCCTAAGTTCTTTTGAACGAAGGCCGATCTTAATAATGCGGCCACGCGCATGAGAATTTTTTACGTTAGGTGGGAAACGCTGTATTGTTACATGCCCTTGTTCAAATTCTTCTGCTAGATCTTGCTCGCCGGACGTGTAGATATACTCTTTTACAATTTCAAGATCAAAACGGCGAGTTAGTTTTTCGTCATTTTGCTCGTCTATTCCCACAAGTGCGATGCGTTTAGACTTGTCCTCTAATTTGCTTTCGTCAGCGCGAATCTTTACGAGAGTTGAATAAAAAAGTTTCTGTTGGTTTAACTTCTCAGAACTGAGCTGGCATACTTTGTCTTCCAGACTCTGTATGCGATCAAGCATCGAATCCTGAGAAGTTTTAATGTGCTTGATCTCAGTAAAGATGCGCTCAAACAACTCACTTAACATCGTCTCCATGCTGCTGGAATACTTGTCGAATCTCTCAATGAGTTGAACTGACCATTGTGGCATACCAGCTTCATCTTCGGCATTCCTGCGCTGTCGAACCATTTGTATATCAGAGCTCAGAGAGAAGCAACCGTACGATGCTGAGACACGTTGGCGAATATACGAGGGAGCGGGTTCAGAGCAAACTGTACTATTGAAAATACCTCTAGAATTGATCCCTTTCTTACTATGTTTGTCCTATATGTGTTTTTGCATTCATTTTTTTTAGTTATCATTTACAACTTGTCATTTATGTGCTCACCTTTCCTATTAATGCTGGGAAATGCAAGTCGACAGTCATAGAATATTCTCCCCCCCCCCCTCCGCTCCCCCCAAAGACGTACTGGATGAGAATGGGAGAGCCTTTAGACGATCCTGCGCGTTCTTCATCGCCTTATTATGCCATTGCCCGATTCACATTCGATGCTAACTCTCTTATGTAGGAGCTGCATTTCAAGCAGTTCGCGGAGCGCGACTCTGGCTCTGGATGATCTGCGGTTTTCCCTCCTCGCGTTTCAAGACGTATAGTTGATTCGTTGAGCGCACGGACTGGACATCACTGTGGAGCACGCGCCGCGAGGTGCCCCAGTACAAATTCGCTATTGTACAAGTCGTGCTCTCGCGACGATTTAGCCGCGCCGCGCGTTGGCCGCAGCGTTTGAGCAGTCCGTGCGGTCAACAAATCAACGGTATACGTCATACGAGGCGTGCTTCTTGACCTGTGTGAGCCTGTGGCGAAAATCAAGGTATAGTGTAGGTAAGACAAGAACTCTGCGTTATCGCAAAGATCGGTTAAATTGCCACTATTCTGACGCATTGAATTTTCTCAGTTATCTTCTTCCTGTCAAGCGCTTTTCTGTCATCAGCCGTGAGCTTTCAATTACCTGAAGCGAGCCTGAGAAAGATAAAAGTTGTTCAGCTGTTTGAGCATCCTGCTTGAGCATTGGCCGCAAGCAGAAAAATCTTCGCGTTTATGCTTGGCCTTGTAGAAGGGGATGGCACGGGTGAGACACTTTCTTCAATGGGACTGTACCCGCCCCTTTTTATGAATTTGGTTACAGGTATGGAGTTAGATTAGTACGAAGATCCCAGAAGAGGTCTTTTGATAAGCGCGGACGAGTGCAACGGAGCAGGCCCCTTCAGTTACAAGCGGCAAGCGGCTAACATGATAAGAGAATAGTAGCTCAGTTGGCACAGAACTTCAGATCTTTGCGAAATCTTGGCAAAAACACAGAATTTATTCGGCTGCGGTGCCAAGAGTTTGCGTTAAAATATGCACGTGAACGGATAGCTATGCCTCTAGCGTGGCTGAGACTAGCCCCTTTTCCCAACATTTCGGGGTTATGGGCCCGCGAAATTTCTAGGAAGCACAAAAAAATTTTTCGATCCGCTGAGGCGTAGCTACTTGTTCAGAACATTCTTGCCCCCCCCACCGTATCTGTAGCATATTCTTGAGCAGAGTAATGAGTTATTACGTCTTGCCATCTCACATGACAATGGAACTATTTTATTACAACAAAGCGGCGTTATCGCGCAGATGAGTGTGGCGCGGTGGTTCAGTAGGAGACACAGAAAATTGCTAAAATCAAAATTTGAGTGCCAGTTCTTCACTAGTTTTGCAACGAGGCGCAGCAGCTCCTCAATAGTAAACCGAAAAACTCCGAGTAAAAAAAATGGAATTCCGAGTCACTGAGGCACTCGAGTTGCTTCCAATATTACCTCTAAGTCAAACTAACTCGCGAATTTGGACTCGGAGAACCGAGAGACGACTACAACAAGATTATGAGATCTGAGCTCTTTCGGCTTTGTTTTCACTTAGAACTCCATGAATATTGCAGTTTTGTTTGAATAATCGAGAACTTACATGAATCCATCCTGATTGCACGACTGAAAGAAGATTATTCAGCATCAACGCTGTAAGAATGTACATCTCTTCATGTGTATATCAGGTCGAAAATGTGTTCAATAAGCTCGGACACCTAAATGAAAGACATTGCCCTATTTTTCGGAGTATAAGGCGCATTTTTGTGCACCGCGCGCGGGCTCGTTTGCGACGCTGCGAGCAGCGTGCGAGTCGCAAAGACCGCCATGTACTGACTTTTCATGACTTTTCTGCAGTTGAATTTCGTGTAATCATAAGCTGCTTTGAAAAGGGTTTTTTTGATTAGTTTTCCGCACAACAGAAAGCACATGACCCAAACACCCCTACTGTTATTAACTTCGAAATTCATTGAGTCAAAGCTGTCATTGAGATTCAAGTCTATATTTGTTGTTTCTTGAATCCATTTAAGACTGAATCAACATTGAACCCATTCAGCAAGTAGAAATATGCTAGAACCTATATTAATCACAGCATTAGTGAGGAACGGCCAAACTTTGGGTGCAACTCTTAGGCGCATTTGTCGCGCTTTCGCGCGCGGCAGGTGCGCCTTATACATAGGTGAGCCTTATACTCCGAAAATTAGGGTATATCTAAACATTTATTTCGCAGACCGATATAGGAATGTGCATGACCGTGAAGGTAGGCGAGATTGAGGTCATTGCTCACGCATTAGAGGTTCTCAGTTTCTAATCAGGTAGTTTTTCCGATGATGTGCGCACCTTTGTGGCCTACCGTGCCAGCAATGCGCCTAAACGTATTTTCTAATCAAAAAATTACCATTATGCTGTTTTTGTGTTTTGGTATAAAATTGTCGTTGGCTTGTTTGCTTACATGTTTGGTTTTAGGATTATAATTATAATGTTCTTTTTAACCCTTTGGGACCTGGCGGTGGCAGTTGCCACCACCAGATATGAAGGACTGTAGCCCGCGACAGCATGTTTCTAAAACTCCTACTTACAGTAGCTTGGGATGGCCTACTGTTTCCTAACTGCGCGTCCATTCGCATTTCTGCTCGTCGTTCTGCGCTTAGTATCAAAAGCAATTGCGTGCGAAGCAACACTGGATCACGCTCGACTTTGAATTCTGATAGTTAATGCCAATTTTTTGTTTTTATTCATTTTTCCATTGTGACGGTTAAGTATGAAGTTGTTCAAAAAGCAATTGGCAGTTGTTTGTGAGTCCACATGTGCTGACTCATTGCCATCACCTTCAGAAGTGCTGCACGCAATTGCCACCAATGGGCTTTAGTGGAACTTTGATGGAAGGCTTTTTATTCAGAAGACGGACGGCCAACTAGCTTCACAAGAATCTAGTTGGCATATCTCAACAAATCACCATGAAAGAAGCTGCGGCCGCATCATCGACGAAGATGATGTTGACGAGGAGTTCGGAGACATTAGAGAAAACGACGAAAAAGAACACGAAGATGAGAAAAGGAAAGTGCTCTGGTATTGCGAATGAACCAAAACAAGGAGGACCGGTGTTCAACTCTTCAAATATCATGAATGCACCTACTGCCGTTCTAAACAAAACGCGTGAAGCACATGAGACCTCTTACTGAAATTAGATATGACAGCGTCGGACACTGGCCGATACATGAAGATGGTAACGAACAACGATGTAAACTATAATCTTGTACAGGATGTTCGCAAATTCAGTGTGAGAAATGTAAGGTTCATCTTTGCCTAATGGAACATCGAAATTGCTTCAGAACATTCTACTGTAGATAAGTGAGGAATAGAAGCTGTAATAGAAGCTGTTCCACTAAAGCCTGTTGGTGACAAATGCCATTATGTAATTTCTTACAGTATGGTCGAAAATTTTCCAAACCTAACTGAAGTGTTATTTATGTGCTTATAAGTGAAAATCAATGAAAAAAAGGATTTTTCCCCAAAGGGAAAAAGTCAGGTCCGAAAGGGTTAACTTAAAAATGTGAATCTCATCGAAGTGCTATATGAGGCGTACAACGCTTTCGAAGGAAGGCTTGAGCGGTGCGCTTTCAGGGAGCGAGCCGCGTACCTTCATCCTACGGGCGGCGTGAGGCATGAGCCGCACGGTGAAGGCGCGCGCCTCGTCTAAACAAAGGATCTGAGTATCTCCTGTCACTTTTTTATAATTATAGATAGCTTTCAACTATCTGGAGCGATTTTGAAAAGTATGGATGTTGTTTAATTGATTGCGACCCATGGTCAGAAGGTTTTCAAGAAGTGACGTCGCAACCCACTTCAACCAACACATTCAGACAATTATTAGGAGCATCCGCGGCCCTTAACAGTGCCTTTTGGTGATGTGCGGGCGTTGAATTTCTATACTGACCTTCTGCGGAGCTTGATTCACTTGCTTGGCAACCCGCGGCTCAATGTTTATGCTAGTGAAACCGGTCGCGGGTTTTAATTGTTCTACCGGGACATCCGCGGCCTGAAAAAAAAACACTAGGGCGGGCCACAGGCCTTATTGAAAGCACTGCATATTTGGTTTTCGGAGCCCCGGGCCTCAATATAGTTCCTGCACCGGGCAGGCCTCGGCCGTTATCGGACGCAGCCCATATCGTATCTCGGTTATGCCGGGCCTTAAAGGTAGTGTCCAAGCAAAAAGTCGATTTCGAGATTATGTGCTTACCTGGGCCTATTCGCTATGCTGAATCGGAAAACTGGAGACCACTGGAGAGCGCGAAAACGGCGAAAAAAGAGGTGGGCGGGGCTGTTCACATAGTGGCGTCACTTTCCCAGCTTCAGGAGCGATGTTCTCGATTCCGCTAACCGCACTAACATCACCACATCGGAACCGAGAAGATCGCTCCTAGAGCCTGGGAGAGTGACGTCGCGGTGTGGACGGCCCCACCTACCTGCGATTTCCCTCCTGTGTTAGGGCCTTTTTTGGCGCTTTCGCGCTCTCCATCGTTGTTTATCGGATTCAGCATGGCGAATAGGCCTGGGTAAGCACAAAATCTAAAAATCGGCTTTTCACATCATTTTCGGGCAGGCCCCGCCCCTTCTAGGCAACGGCTCAACAAAATCAGTCTGGCGAGCCGCGAGTCTGCCGGACGCCACAATTCTTACACGCTGTAAGCAAAAACATACTCGCGTGAGATACGCCGCGCTGGTAGAGGTACCCCCAACGTTTAGGTCGTTTCTTATCGCTCCTCGGTATGTGGTTAGTAGTAAAGAAGATCTGTTGAGGTGTCCTTGTTAGAGTTACCCTAATTTCACGCGTACAAGGCGCGGGGGAATTTTTTCTAAAATCCGCCAGCCCAAACACGCCACAACACTTCGCGACCAGCGCCCTATACCGGGCTCCGTATTGTCTGAGAGAATTGAACGGTTTAAGGTTCGCTTTCCGAAACACATTGAAGCGGTTGAGCGGCTTGTTTGAAAGATCGAAAAAACGCCTTGTACGTGTGAAATTAGGGTACTTGAAGCTGGAACTTGGGCCTTACGACGGAAGGCATATTCAAACGCATACCCTAGCCCATGTGCGAGGGTGAGGAAAATGGGAAACAGGTGTTCAAAAAATGGAATAAATCTACATTATTGCGTTTAGCAACCACGTAGCGCCACCCGCGGATGCATGTTGCGACTGTCGAATGCTTGTCCGGACATCCGCGAGTGTCTTTCGAGCGCTTACCGGGCATCCGCGGGTAACTCTCGGCCGCATAGGGTGCGTTTATTCTACCACCAGCGGCATGGATGAAGCGTCGGTGAGGGCTTCCGCGCACGGTCGCAATAATTGTCTGAGCAACAGCAGTACTCCTGGAACAGTGTCACTCATGGCATCGAGTCATGTACCTGCCTCCACCCCATCATTGTTTTTGCGGCCGGGATTGCCGCCGAGCGCAAGGTTTGTGGGTTCCAAGTGTGAACGTAGCGTGCGCGCGTACCTCCTGACGTGAAACCAACTCCATGGAACCTTGTGCCATCCTGCGTGAGCAATAGCACCAATCTCACCGTTCTTCAGAATCACGAACATCCCTACACCGGTCGCTGCACACTATAACATGAGACAATAGGCAAGGTGTTGAACATAGCTAAAACACGAATTTGTAAAAGCGGCATATGACAAAGGCAACTTCTAGTGGTTGAAGTCATATTCTTCCCACAGAAAGAAACGAACATACTCTGATGAACGGCTGACGCAAATGAAACATTATTTCGCACTCAACAATTCCATGTAACATCTGGCATACTTTATTTCACGCCTTGACATGAAGTTAACAGAGAATAACATGAAATCGCTTGAGCTAACAAAGGAAGTGTTTTAGGAGGGATTTACCTAAAGGCTACTGCATGACGAAGGCACAATAGCAGTATTAGTTGAGTGGGCGCGAACGCAGCGCGCGCGTATCCTCACCGTTGTATCCTCCTGCGCCTCCTGCACTCTGCGGCTAATAAGGCCGCGTTCGCGCTCGAAGATATTGCGCCTTCGTCATGCAGCAGCCTATTTGCCCTTCTGCACCATTCCATCCTAATGCTAATTACTATGCTCCAGGACGGCAACTACTCCGTTTTTAGAATCTAGTAGAGTTTTCGGGTATTTCTGAATATTCCAAAGCAAGCTGTATTAATGTTTATCACGAAGACAAGAATCTCTCTATAATAAAGCGCTAGAGATGACTCATGCATGTAAGATACCCCCCCCCCTTCGTGGTCGCGATTCGGATGTCAACAACTTTGTCGTTATGTGCCGGTGCAGGTGCACCGAGCTGTGTCTCGTGATGGTTTGGCGCCTGTCTTAGGCCCCGGGCATACTTCACGCGACTTAATCGTCGCGATCTAATCGCCAAGATTTCCATTCATTTTCATTTCACATTCAAAAATTTCGGGCTGGAAAAGTATCACAACCGAATGCAAGTTAATCGGCATGGAATGATGTTGTAACAGTTGTCTCGTCGCGACTCAGTCGCGACGACCAAATCGCGTGAAGTCTGCCCGGGGCCTTAGATGATGTTGATCGAGAAGCCCAACCAGCAAAGTGACTTGCTGGACAAGCTAAATGCTGGGAAGGGGGAAGGTTACTTATTGTTATGCATTATATTACTATTACTATATCGCAGTAGCGAGCAGCAACGCGAGTCCGGATGGCTTCCGCTAGCAAGGTTTT